GTTTTCTCCAATTTTAAAAAATCCCCAATTTTGGTTTAAAAAAACAGTAACCCCAAATCCACATTTTTCATGATTTAAATGAAACACCACGTATGTACACACACACACACGCGCGCACACACACACACACACACACAGAAAGAGAGACAGTCAGACAGATGTTTCATTTTAATCATGGAAAAATGTGATTTGGGGTTACTTTTTTAACTAAAAATTGGGGATTTTTTTTAATCAGAGAAAACCAGGATCCCTGGTAATCTTTCATTAGTTTTTGATTCACTCACACAAATTCACCCCTGATTCAATTCAGGGAAGGTATCAAGTTCTGTAAGGATTATATGTAAAGCCATTTTTTTTTATCTGAACATAGATCTTATTGAACTGTGCTTATCCAAGAAAGAGCATGTGTCCTTCTCTCTGGCTCCCATCTATTCCAACTTCCAAATAAGTTACTGCAGCCCCAGAGTTATTGTAATCTCTGTACGTACTTTGCAGGAGATCAAGGGATCAAGACGCACAAAAACCCAGTGAGAACTTCACTCCCACCTACAACAGGGTCATGTTGGTCACTTGATCCTTGAAATTCTTGTCTATACTTTTGTTTTCTTTGTAACAATAACAATAAGTTACAATTTCACATTTCATAGCTTTTGTCATAATCACTCCTTCACACCTGTACCCTTTCTATGGTGTTAATATATATTTATTTCTTATTTATATTGAAGTCATTCAAAGAGATTCATAGTAGCTAGCTGGTTTGTGGGGGAAGGGTCTCCTAGCAGTGCAATATGATATCAAGCCAAAGATCCAAAATGCATCGGTAAGTCCCACTGGTTGTGCAGTATGGAGGGGAGCACATACATGTTAAGGCACTGACTCCAAGACATACTAGGTACCCACAACCCCAATAAAAGATCCCAGCAATTCTCAGGATCAGACACCAACTTCGCACAGCAGTCTATACATAGGTAAAAATTAGCCAATCTAATATTCCTGTACTCCTGTATATAACCACAACCAGATCCTCCGCCCTCCACATAGTCTAAAATTTAAAATCCAAACATTATAGTACAGTAGGGGCCAATATTTTTGGCAGGTGTATTACAAATAAAGTTCCATACCCTCCTCAAGTGTCGCTATGACGCCGTTCCTCTGCTCTCTGCTCCCTGCCTTATGTGCATTGTGCTGCCTGCCCCTTCCCCAATCTTCCATATACCACACACAGAAACTGCCTGTGCCACTTGTCACACATGCCACAGGTTGCCCCCGGTGTTATAGTGGAATGTAGCATGCCAGAAGCAAGAGAGTAGGTGCTATGTAAACCGCAAGAATGTGCCTTAGCCTAAGGTGTGCACTGGTCTAGTTGAGTTCAATGGAAGTTTTGTTAGTTATTTCCATAGGAATAGGTTCAGTCCCTTCCATTGGAAATTGCAAAGTGGAGATAACATTCTTTACCCCTGAGACAGGTAGCACCTTACATCAATTTCAGGTAACCTCCTTTGAAATCATACTCCTGGTAGCACTGACAGATTCCATACAGAAGCCATTACAGCTCTCCTCAAGAAAGGGGATTTGCTACAACATGAAGCCTTTAAGGATGGCATTGAGTTTGCCAAAGAAAGTCAGAAATGGATATTCCGCAAACCTAATCAGTATTATCTCATAGCATATGTGTCTGCTCCAAGATATATGTTGAAGCAAAATGGATTCAATATCTATCCCACCCTCATAACATTAATATAAATCCACATTTAATCCAGACACATAAAAATAAGTATCTCTGCACTTCTTTTCACCCCCTGAAAGTCAAGATACATGCATAGTGTCATATTCCAGTCATTTTATATAGGGGTTGATTCATTAAGTCTTTAAAAATATCCTTCCAGATCAAGGGTAGGCAAAATGCAGACCATGGGCCACATGCGGCCCACCAAGCCATTCTATCCAGCCCACGCCCCCCCCCCCCCCCCCACA